CTGCACTGTGGTAATCTGTGCATGCAGTTCTTAGAAGTAAGCCGGGCACATTTTCCTCCAGCAACAAGGATATGGCTCCATCAACATTTAGCAGGTTTCCCAGGGTGGCGCAGCAGTGACGACGTGTGAGGGCATCAGGATCACTGCAAAAATTAAAAAAATAATAATAATAATAAATCTGAACGTTAAATAAAATTCTACTCCCTGAGTCAATTTATAACGGATTGGATTTATATAGCGCTTTTCTAGGCACCCAAAGCACTTTACAATACCACTATTCATTCACTCTCACATTCATACACTGGTGGAGGCAGCTACAGTTGTAGCCACAGCTGCCCTGGGGCAGACTGACAGAAGCGAGGCTGCCATTTATAGAGTATTATTACTATTGTTGGCGCAATATTAGAAATTCTATAGCACAAATTATTATAAATATATTATAAAGGTTTGGTCCCTGCATCTTTGGGTTAATTTTATCTGTCCAAAGAATAATTTTCATGAGCTGTGCTGGCTTTTTTAGAGTTGTTTTTTTTTTTTTTTTTTTTGATAGTCCAATGTAGTCTAATCTACTTTAGCCCAAACAGAGGCCAGAGCTCAAATTGTGCAGCAGAGGAGGCCAATGAGCTGAATGAGGTGTATTGACTGATGTCTGTGTGTTTAGCAGCTGCACACTGACTCCTGGTGAGGCAGGTTGGTAACATCTGTCTGTGCCAGTGGCTGCTGATGTGACTCCTTCAAAGCTGAATTAGAGGAAGCAGATGGCTGTATCTCAGCTGGCCTCATACAAAGGCTCCTGGACTGTTGAGCATTTCTGTAAAGATTCAGACACAGATGCCACAAAACAAACAAAAACACAAGAAGTCTTCTTTTTTGGGCAACACTTGTCCTATTTTCATCACATTTCACAAGAAAAAAAATACTGTGCTATAGGTGTGATGTCAGATTCTCTTCCCTTTTTTGCCCTAAAAACAAGCACATGAGGTCATACAGACTCTGCAGTGACTGTTTCATCATTCGTGGCTGTGACAGTTGTAGTTTACTTGGTGGACCAGTCTGTTTGCTCCTTGACTTAACGTCACCTTTAGTTACAACGTGATCAAAATATTTGGCCTGCTGAACTGAAACTAGTACCACAGAAGAACCACTATATACAACTGTGAGAAAGTAGTTGAGTAAAGTTGAATGAAACCATTCAAGGAGGCTGATTACAATAATTCACATAGACATCTGCACATAGAATTAGAATCAGAATCAGAATACTTTATTGATCCCAGGGGGAAATTATTTTTCGTTACAGTGCTCCATTATAAACAAACATTAACAGAGACAGACAATACACTAACTAAGAATAGCACAATCTATACAGGCATATATGTACATAAAAGTCACTTATTAACAAATAGCGGAAAAAGAACTTGTGGGTGTAGCTGTTGCAGTAAACAGTGTGTTAAGTGGATGTGTTGTACAGGGAGATGGCCACAGGCAGGAATGATTTCCTGTGTCGTTCAGTGGTGATTTTCGGTACTCTCAGTCTTTCACTGAACGAGGTCCTGTGACTGACCAGCATGTCATGGAGTGGGTGGGAGGTGTTATCCAACATTGTCTTTATCTTGGACAACATCCGCCTCTCCGACACCACCTTGAGGGAGTCCAGCTTCACCCCCACAACATTACTGGCCTTACGAATCAGTTTATCGAGTCTGTTGGCATCTGCAACCCTCAGCCTGCTCCCCCAGCATGCACTGGCCACAACAGACTCATGTTGAAGGACATCAGTTGCCTCAAAAAATAGAGACGACTCTGGCCCTTCCTGTAAAGTGCTGTGGTGTTTTTTGGCCCAGTCCAGTTTATTGTCAATGTGTATACCGAGGTATTTATAGTCCTCCACAATGTCAGCATTGACCCCCTGGATTGAAACAGGGGTCAAGTGTTTCCTGGTCTTCCTGAAGTCCACTATCAATTCCTTGGTCTTTGCCACGTTGAGCTGCAGATGATTCTGCTCACACCACGTGACAAAGGAGTCGACCACAGCCCGGTACATCTGAAGATGGCAGGTCTCTGTGCAGTGGCTGAAGTCTGTGGTGTAGAGGGTGAAGAGGAAGGGGGAGAGGACAGTCCCCTGTGGTGCTCCTATGTTGCTGATTACCTTGTCAGACACACACTGTGGGAGACGTACATGTTGTGGTCTTCCTGTCAGGTAATCAACAATCCAGGACACCAGAGAAGCATCCACCTGCATCGCTAATACTTATCACCCAGGAGGGTCAGCCTTATGGTGTTGAAAGCACTGGAAAAGTCAAAAAACATGACCGTCACAGTGCTGGCTGGCTGGTCCAGATGGGTGTAGACACGACTGAGCAGGTAGATGATGGCGTCTCTGTTCCGAGACGAAGCTGATAAGCAAATTGAAGGGGATCCAGATGTGGTCTGACAATGGGTCACAGCTGGTCCAGGATGAGCCTTTCCAGGGTCTTCATGATGTGGGAAGTCAGTGCCACGGGCCTGTAATCCTGGGGGCCACTGGGACGATACCTGCAGGTCACTGAAAAAATGCAGGAGAGAAACCTACAGTTCTCCAACAGGATGCAGGTACTGGACCATGTTATCAGGAACCTTGAGCACATTACACTTAAAACATACAAAACACAGAACAGGCAGTGAGACAAGCTGCAATGGTATCATCTGGGTGGAAGAAGCGATCAGCGGGAGGAGAACGTGGATAAAAGCTCATTCATACATAGCCTCGCTTTGCTCTGAAGAG